TATGTTACATGTATGGTGTTTTTGTTGTGTGCCTCATGCATACAGGCCCACAGAGTCCAGAAGATAGGATAGGTTCCCTTAAAACTAGGGTTACAAATGGTTATAAACTTCTATGTGGGTGCAGAGAATTGAACCTGGGTCTTCTGGAAAACAGTGCTCTTATCTACTGAACCATCTCTCCAACCCTATGGGGGCAAGTATTCATATGTCTGAGAATGTAGGGACACTCTCATTGAAGTATACCATGTACTTTGAACATGTTCACCTCTACCCTCCCCATCCTCCACTTCCTGCCATTCTCCTTTCCCACAGACAACATAATTTTTACTTTAATGTCATAGACAGATAGGTATTATTTGATGTATCTACATAAAATCCAGGATCCACAAACACAAACAATAGAAAACCTGTGATGTTTCTTTCCCCAAGCCTGACTTCTGTTTAGCATGGTGGTCTCTGATAACTGTACACCATTAGGCAGGATGATGGAAGAGGACCGACCTCTTGGCATCCTTCCCACAAAGGTTTTGGTACTAATTCAAGGGCAGATTAACTTGTGGTATTAAATGTTTCCCTTGGGATGCAGAGTGGAAGAGGAGGGAAGAATGAATGGTTGTCATAGCTGTCACAGTAATACATCTCACAGTTGCTCCAACTCTCTTTCATGTGAAACTTTTCAAACTTGTTAGAAAATGGAGCCCAGCAATAGCAGATTTTCAGTGTCCAACTTCAGGGCCACGCTGAGTTCCAACGGTGAATTCACAGAGATTACAAAGAGAATTAATATTCAGAGCCTTAGACTGGGCATGTGTAAATAAGGGTAGTTATAGGCACTAGTCCCATGGGATCAGGGAAGGACTAAGTGTATCAACATTTCCAGCATCTCTTGCTTGACACTGTCTACATTAAGATGAGTTCTAATCTTGGCAGGTAGGAAAGCTGGTGATTAGCTTTGCTGTAGAGCAGTAGTTCTCAGCATTCTTAATGCTGTGGTGACCCCCAACCATAAAAAAATAAAATAATAATTACTTATTTGTCACTTCATAACTGTAATTTTGTTACTGCCATAAATCATAATGTAAATATATGCTATGCAGACTATATGGTATGTGACCCCTTTGAGGTTGCAACCTACAAGTTGAGAACCACTGTTGTATAGGGGTGCAGTTATGATTGACCTCGTCCTCCCCAAATCCTTGTGTTGAAGTCAGTAGTACCTCAGGACCTCAGCATATGGCCCTATTCAGAGACAAGTCTGCCTATTTAAATTGGGGTTACTAGGGTGGGTCCTGGCCCCATGCCATCAATTTCCTTATGAAACAGGGAGATGTGGAGACAGTCTCAAACACAGGCAGATATAAAGAAACACAGATGAAGATGAAGGCAGAGGACAGAATTAACACAACAACAAGGCCTGAAATGCTGAAGATTAACAGAAAGCCAGAGGAAGCTGAGAGCAAGGCAGAAGCAGATGCTCCTTGGTAGTCTCCAGAAAGACCTTGATCTAGCTTCCAGCCTCTGGAGCTGGGACACCATCATGTTTATTCTTTAAATCACCCATCATGCACCATTCTGTAATGTGATCCCTAACAAAGGTGGAAACTAATGAAAAGCAGAGATGGCTGCATAGCTCCAGTGCAAAGAAGGTCACCAAATGATTCTATGTACCAAGATTCCTCTGCCCACCCCCAATCCTCATTGCATCTGCTGTATGAGCTGTATTCAAAAGCAACCCCATGGGATGGTGCAGGGGAGGATGGGGGAACATGTGTCTCATTCAGTGATCGACCAAGTCAGCTTCTTTCTGCACCACCATGGTGTCCCTCCTACATGTCCCAGGATTCATGCATGCACTGGTATCCCTGAATGGAAATGACCATTGTCAGGGAAACTTCCTGTCTGTGGTATGACTGTCAAAGTGGGCAGTCACCACTTCCCTCATTAGACTAAATACCTTATGTGGAACCACACAGTTCTCAAACTAACCAGTCACACGTGTTTCCATGTGTCCAAGGCTCGGGGTATAACCTCTTCCTGGTTGGTGCTTATAGCTAGCATGCTGTGACTCTAGTATTGAAACTCTGATGTTCTACCCCTGGAGCTGGCTTGGAAATGCTTATATTGCTGGGCTCCTTGTTCTCAGAAGCCTGCAAAGCACTCTGTGGAAGCGAGTGGGAGGGAGTATCTCTGTTGCACTCTGCTGAGCTTTTCTAATGCTCTGTTTGGGGAAACTAGAGCCAGCAGCATCCCCAGGGTGTAGTGAGCCATGTGGTCCATGTTTAACATGGGCGGTCTCTTGAGACGAGTATTTCATAAATAGATTTTCCAGATAAAATAGAAGGCCCAGTAAAGTCAATTTTCAAATGAAATATGACTAATATTTACGTATCAGTGTGTCCTCAGGACTGCATGAGAGGCAGTATAATTTAAGATTTAGTCATTGTTTATCTAAATTTCAATATAATTGAGCATCCTGTTTTTGTAGTCACCAAGTCTGAAAACCAGGATATAAAGAGGCTTCTAAAACTCTATTTCTCCCTCTCTGTCCCCCTCCCTCTCTGTCCCCCTCCTCCCCGTCCCTCTCTATCCCTCTCCTCTCTGTCCCCCTCCCTCTCCCTCCCTCTCTATCCCTCTCCTCCCTGTCCCCCTCCCTCTCTGTCCCCCTCCTCTCTGTCCCCCTCCTCCCTGTCTCCCTCCTCCCTGTCTCCCTCTCCCCCTCTCTCTCTGTCCCACTCCCTCTCTGATAATGTGACATTTTGTTTTTCTCTAGGAAACAGACTAAAATTTGCTCAAACTGAGTTTCTGCCCTGTACCCTCCCCTGTTGCCTCCTCATTCACCTTATTTCTCTTTCCACCGCCAGCACAGTTCCTTCTGTGCAGTGTGTGTGTGTGTGTGTGTGTGTGTGTGTGTGTGTGTGCGCGCATGTTTATTCATGCATGTGCATGCATGTGTGTATGTGTTCAGCATATATATGTATACATGCATATTTGCTTATGTTCATGCATGTGTGTATGTGTTCAGCATACATATGTATAAATGCATATTTGCTTATGTACATGCATGTGGGTATACATACGACAGGATGTACATGTGTATTTGTGCACATATGTATGGAGGCCACAGATGGATGCCAAATGTCTCCCTTGACCCCACTTCACCTTAGTTTTTGACTGAACCTAGAGCCTATTGATTGTGCTGGAATGTTTAATGAAGAGCCCCTGGGATCTGCCTGACTCTGTGTCCCCAGTACTGAGATGATAGATGTATGGCACAACACTTTTTTATTTTAATTTTAAATTTTAATACATTTTAATTAAAATATAATTACATCACTTCCTCCCTTTCCTCTCTCTAGACCCCCATATTTCCTCCATCCCTTCCTTCCCATGTCCTTCATCTAGAATTGATCTCTTTTTATTTGATTATTATTGCTATGTATGTAAATATATACACACAAATATATAACCATAACCCACTGTATCCTCTTATGTTGCTTGTGTGTATATGAATGCATATAAATATGGTTTCAGGACTGATGCCTTTGTATTTGATAAGCAGTTAGGTAGCTCATCCTTGGGAGAGCTCACTCCCCCTTTTTCAGTAGTCATTAGTTACCTGCAGGATTTTGTCTAGGGTTGGGACCGCATGAGATTCTTCCCTTCCATGTAAGCATGTCAGTGGATATTGTCATTGTCTTGTACATGCAGCCTTTCTAGGAAAGATCCAAACATGTACCCTCATGCTTGCACAGCAAGCATCTTACCAGCTGGGTTGTATCTCCAAGCCCTGATTCCTATCTATAATGACTTAGCACCTGCCACTCCAGGTCCAGGGGACAGTGACATCCTTGGCTGTTTCCAAGTAAACATTACACCAACATGCAGAGATGAGGCCAGACCACAGTAATCTCCTTCCAGTTTTGATCCAAGAAAATTAGAGGGATTTACAGGTAGGTGCAGGTGCAAAGGAGACCCAGCGCCGATGCCTGGAAGTGGCTTCATAGGAAATCCCACTCTGTTCGGTTCCTGGGTAATCAGAGGCTTATCCAGTTCAGGAGAAAATGGGTTTCTGAAAAAGATGGAGGCAGTTTGTAACTGTCAAATCACAGGAGCATGACTGGAATCCCAAGTCCCATCACACACCTCACTCAGAATCCATCCCTTCCTATTAGTGCCACATCTAAGGACAGCACATAGAAGCTTCCGGAAGCCCTTACTTGGCATTACCGTTGTCTTCCTAATAGACTCCAGTTACCTGGATCAGTGTTTCAGTTCCTTCCTGATTTGTGAGTTAAAATCAACAGTCATAAAAGAACACTCAAGGTTCAAGGACTCAAAGACCTGTCAGCCTGCACTTTACAATTCCTACCTTGGACAAAGGCCCTCCCTGCTGGTAATTAGATTCTTAGTTTAGATCCCAGATCTACGGTGTCTAGCGTCAGTAACCTGTAGCTTCTTAAATGTCCATATTTTCATTAGTTAAAATCATATAAAACATAAGCTTTAGTTCCTCTGTCACACCGGGCACTCAGTAGCCTCATATGGCTAGTAGTCACTCTATTGGACAGCCCTGTGGCAGCTTCTTGCCTCACTCTCCGAAAGTGAAAGAACAGTGCATTTGATTTTTGGCAAGAATACCATTTCAATTTGGTTTGGAACCAGAACTAAGAAAATACTTCTAAGACATGTGGATTATTTGGGGATTTTATACAGTGCTGTCCAGATAGTTAATCAATGTACTAGCTTGGTTAAAGATAAAATTTATGATCTAAGTCTCCAAGGTAGGCCACTTTTGAAGGCAGAAACACCCAACTTCAATTGGTTTAGCTCTATTTCAGTGTGGACACTGGGCAAGAAGAAAGGAAATCAAAAACCTCGGTTCCAGAGTAGCTGTGTAGAGTGGAAGGCACCATGGGCAGACCAGCCTCCTGGTGTGAGCTGGGTAGCTACTAAGTGACTGAGCAAATCACTGCCTTACTAGCCAGCCTGTTTTTGTTTTCAAGGAGAGATCATGAATGCAGTCCCCCATACCACAAATTATGCAGTCGAGTTTCCCTGCATTTGGGGAAATCGCAGGGGACAGCACACAGCAGATGCAATGGGTGGACCTCACCCTGGGAAAACCACCTACTTGATCATGGTATCACCCCTGCCAAGCAGATTTGCACATAAGAAAATGCGGAAAATATAAAAAGAAAGAAAAACCTGCAGCAAAAAAACTACCTTGTGGTCTGACAATTCGCCAACCATCAAAGGCTTTATGGAATCATACACTCCTGCTTAGCACTCACACATGCACATGCACACACAGACACACAAACACACCATTTTAAATATAATTTCTCTAAACACCCTCAACTTGGAGAATATCTCTAGTTCTTTCCAAAATACAGAATTGAAATGCCCACTTTAAACAGGATTGAAGTAGATAGACATTAATTTTAGGCACTAAGACTAGTGTTTTGTGAAAAGGAGACACTAACGTCAACCCCTAAGGCTCCTTTCTGTTCCAAAGCTGTCTGATTCTTGGATGGTAGTTCTTGTGACGTGACTTTTGGGATCTTAGACTGAGAAAGCTCTATACTTTGGGCAATGATATAGTCACCTTAAAAATGACAAGTCATACCCTGGGTGCCATCATAGGGTGTGACCATCTGATAGAACTGTCTGTGATGAAGAGTCACTTCTCCATCTGCCCATCCAGCAAGGCAAGCACCAGTCTTATTTGGCTGCTAAGCTCCATGAAATGCAGCTGGTGTGATTAAGAAAGTAGTTATTTGGACTGTTTAAATATTAGTAGCCACATGGGTCTACCTTTGGGGGCAGAGAATTTTTGAAAATACAGATCCCTAAAGTACACACATCTCTGACACCACAATTTTTATCTAAAATATAGCAATTAAAAGCATAAGCCCATGTCATGTTTTCTTATTTGCTTCAGACTTCCTTTCTGCGGTCAGTTCCTCAAGAATGAGGTCAAATCCCCTACTCATCAGTAACAGAATTCCTCACATTTATCTAAGCCAGCACATAGGATGAGTCCAGTAAATGTATTCACTAGAGGAAGACACTTTTCTCAATGCTGACTCTGCCCCGAGAAATCATCACATATCCCCCAATTCAAGCTACTCAACCAAATGTTTGCTCATCAGTTGGGGATCCCAAATGCAAGACAGCATGTGGTACCATGTGTGTATCAGTCAGTGTTCTCTAGAGGAATAGAATGCATGGGATGGCTACACATGTGAAAAGTTGAGCATAGAAATAAGAATAGTAGAGCTGGAGAGATAGCACGGTGGTTAAGAGCACTATCTGGCCTCTGAGGGAACTTGAAATCAGGTGCACATACCCACATGTGCACATAAGCTAAGCGTACCTATAATTAAAAGTGAGATAAATGCTTTTTAAATAAATAAAAGTGGTATCAGGGTTCTAGAATCTAGCTCTCTCTATGTAGACAGTTAACTGCCATGCCCTTGAAAAGCTGGTTGACTTCTTTCTTCTGCAAAGAGAAATGGGAGGATCCAATAGCAATACATTGATGGTTTGGACAAAGTGGCTCTATCATGGTGGTTCCTCTGTACAAAGTAACTCGTTGAGCAGTACCCTTGGCCTTTCCCTTAGATACCTCCACCTCCTTTACAGTAATCAAAACTATCTCCAGACATTATCAAATGGCTCCCTGAAGGCAAAATCACACCACACCACAGCCACTGAGAGTCAATGACATCACTCTTACTCAAAGTTCCCTCCACCACTGATAATCGAACATCTGACTTGGGCCAATAATTTCTAAGCACCCAACTTCTCGGGTATGTCATACATGGCCATAGAATTATAAGAGTGTGCCTAGGTTCTCCTGGATGTCACTCCGGTCTAATTATCAACTTAATGCTTGGATCATTGGGCCATTAAAATGCTGTATTTCAATTCAATCTTCTATTTTAAAAAATGGTTACCCTGTGACTTTTATCTGTTCTGGGACTGATTTTATTTAAACGGACCATATAATTTCACCCACTCCGTGTCTGCAAATATCACTTCATAGCTGAATGTCAGCATGCCTGCTAATGACCCTTACAATTGTAGCTGTGTCTACAGAACCCACGCAGCCAGAGGCAGGAAGGCTTTGTCTGTGTTCATCTTCCACTCTTTCCCTGAGTAAGACTTTTTATTGGTGCTCATTATGATACACAAATAGCCTGCCCTGGATCCTTCATGTGTTCAGTTCACTTCCCCCTAACTTATTAATGTAGCCTCTAGATGCCACAGAGAGGCACACACTCACTGTAAAAGGAAATGCATGTATCATTGCCAAATACTGAGGGACCTTCCTGGGAAGTGTGTGTTCTCAGACCCTGAGTTATTATGACTTGGTCAGTGCCTCCCTCTTTCTTGGTGATAGGACTGGGCACTCACATGAGAGTTGTGATTGGGATTTGGTAGGACGTTTAAGCTATTTCATGCCATGAAACATAAGCTGACCTCTGGGATGTACAGGTCCCATTGAGAAAGCGGCATTTTCTATTGGACCCCAATACTCACTCCTTGTGTTCCACACATTGGCTGGAGCTTGGTTACTAGTCCATCAATTCGTCCAACCAAGTCAGATCAATCCTATCATCACTGCCATTTTACTAAGAATAAAAAGGGGCTTCTTGGGACCAAGTAGCTAGAGACTAGACTCTGCCCTGAAGATTTCTGGACTCCTCATCCTTCTGTTTCATAACTTTCCTCTAGATTTAGAATGACATAGTAACCACATATTTTATTTTTGAAGGAAGCATTCCTTAACATCTGCCTAAAAGGTGATTCAGCACAGATCTTATTAAAGCAAGTTAAGGGCTAGAATGATGGCTCAGCAGTTAAGAACATGCACTGCCCTATCAAAGGACCAGAGTTCGATTCCCAACACTCAGGATGGATGCTCACAAATATTTGAAACTCCAACTTCAGATGGATCAACACTTCTGCCCTGTCTGGTACCTATATTCATGTGTTCAACATACACAGGGGGGGATGCTTATAATAAAAAATTGTTAAAAGCAATAGGTAAAGAACAATGTAAGGGTTTTTTAAATTTTTTTATTTTAATTTTAATTTTTTGGTTTTCCAAGACAGGATTTCTCTGTATTGCTCTGTAGAGCAGGCTGGCCTGGAACTCACAGAGATCCACCTGCCTCTGTCTCTTGAGTGCTGGGATTAAAGGTGTGTGCCATCAATGCCCAGTAACTAATATTTCTTATACATGGGGGGTGGTGGGAAATTACCTACCTCCTGGATGTCACTGTGGGCAGGCTGAATCTGTAGGTTTCCAGTAGTTTGCTGTTTGTAGCTTCCAGAACATGATTTCCTTCCCTTCAACATAGCTTTGTTTTTAGTTCGTGAGGGAACACACTGGTGGGAGCCTGGTGATTATCACATCTTTAAATTTCATTAGGCATATTGTAATTTTGAAATGAGATTTCTTAATAGCAAAACATTCTCTCATAGCACAACTCTAAATCAATCAACATTCTTGATGGGAACTGCAATTGTTTTGAGACAAGCTTGTTTCTCATGCTGTATTCTTTGGAAGGAATAGATGCAGTTGAAAACTGGGGACCTGTGATGTGGGCCCTTCATGAACACGAGGTTAAAAGAAAAAAAAGCAAACAATCTCCTCCAGCAACTTTCCTAAGGAACATCATAATCTGTTTGAGTTTGAAAGAGTTTTAAAGTATGGGACTGGCTTAAGCAATGAAGAGCATTGGATTCAGTCCAGGACTCAATCTGTCAGTGACTGCGTGGCTGAGGCCAACCCTGACTTCCTTCCTTGTATAATGTCCTACCTCTCACACCTCTTCTGCTCTTGTCTGAAAAGGGCTGCTGCAGGCTTGGATGTGTACATTGTACATCCTATGTGAGACGTACAGGGTCCTGCATCCTTCCTCACCACACAACTGTCCAGGACTCAAGTCCTGTCCTTGCCTTGAGAGGCATACACATCAGATGATGTGTGCCAACTTTAATTTTAGAAATGTTGTCACCCTAGGCACTGGTTCATTAAAACAAATTTAAACCCCTGAATCCATAGTGCCATCTTTTGTTCGTTTCTTCTTTCACAATTTACAATAAAATAAGGGGATTTCTTATTCTAGGATAAATAGTGTTATTAATAGCAGACTCTGTCTTCTATGAGCAGCTGATACAGTACATTTAAACATGTGAATTTTAATGCTGACCATTTAACAAATACATTATTTGAGTATATGCCTGGTATAAAGAAATAAAACATACATTTTCTTCCCCACCCACACTGGGATGTTCGCAGCCATTTCTCAACACAATAGTGTGTTTAAATGAATTGCTCTATTGACTGAATCTTGATCCTCCTGTCAATGCTTGGGATAGAAATAAGTGGACAGAGAGTTGGGAGCCATTGTGCCTGTGGCTGGCTTTGTGCTGAGTGAAATCTGAGGCTCAGCAATCAGCTAGTGCTGGAGGAATCGGTTTCTCTGTTAAAAGTACATGTTTTCTGCAATGAGCCCCAAACAGACCAGGGAGTTTGTTGAGAGCATCCTATGCCCACTGTCACATCTGAGTTCACTGAGCCTATAGTGGGATCCAGCAGTTGCCCTGGATGATACTGGCCCAGGTACCTAGTGACTCCATGATGATTCTGCTGCCTTGGTCAGTGCCAAAAGCCCCATCGACTACTGTAAAGCTCCTCCAGCCACAGCTGGGGTCACAATACTTGACTCGTCTGCATTTCTTCAATAAAGCAAAATCACCCCTTAGTCAGAGGTGCTTGAGCCAGAATCTTACGCTAGCTGATTATATAAACTTGAAATAGGGAAAATTGAAAAAGGGTGAGTGTTGACAAGAGGTGAGGAGGCTGAATGGAAGCTAGTAATTTTGTGGGTCAGAGGTGCTACACCTAGCATGCACAGAAGTCTTTTAATGTCTGAAATACTAGTGTGTGTCTGTGTGAACATGTGTGTGTGTGTGTATGTTTATTTAGATGTATGTATGAATGTCTATATGGTATGTGTTTATGTGTATTTGTGCAAATGGTATGTGTGCTCATATGTGTGCATGCACATGTATGTATGAATATTTATATAGTACATGTGTATGTATGTCTGTGCATGTGGTATGTGTGTTTGTGTATGCACATGTATA